TCAGTCTCCAAAACAAAATGCAACCCTTTACTTATGAATTAATTCTCTGTTGAAAACTAAACATTTGTTTAGTGAAATGGATATGAAACACATTAATATCCATTAAATCTTAGACAAATGACTTTATAAACAGGACAATCTCTTCTCAGTTCTTTGACTCACCCTTTCCTGTAGATTATTCCTTACCTGAACAGCTCACTGGACTGATCTGCAGGACTCACTCTACCCAACTCCACAGTTTGTAGTGAGACATACTGAGTTGGTTCAAAAAACTAATTAAACCGACAGAAATTAAAATATACAAAAGTTTTATTGTAATTTCACAGTCATTATTCACACAAGAAAACACAGGCAAGACCAGTCTCCTTCTTTTTCATGTACAACAACGTCAGTTCATTTAGTGGAAACATACTCCAGACAGAGTGGTTAAATTAGTGGTCATAACAATGACAAGAAAAAACAACATGAAACATGTGACAACACATATCTGTTACAAGTGACAAAATACAATTCATTTTAAGATAACAGAGAAAAGTAGTGTCTCATAAAATGTCATTTTTCAAAATAAGGCAGGTAGAACAATTTGAAGCCTCTTCTTCCTCGGACAGCGCAGCTGATGTATATCACATGGTACACTGGAGGACACACAGGAAATGATACTGTTTATGTCAACACAACAAAGCATGTATTTATGCAAACTGTTAAAACCATGCATAATGAATTTTCAGAACTAGTTCATCCATTTACCTCCAGGGATGAAGAGAAGAAATCCAGGGACAAAGAAAATAGCACTTGAAACTCCTGTAAGGACAATGTCATGAGTTAAAAGCCAGTCACCAATAATAATTGATGCAGCCACACATTAAAAGGGATCGTTTTTCAGTTTCAGTATTTGCTTTCTTGCTGGGATTTACATGAAAAGATCCATAACACTCTCATGTATGTACAGGCTACAAGCTACAGCCATTTATCTTAGAAAAGAGAAAGGAGAGAAGGAGAATATCAAGTCTGGTTCAATCCAGTGGATCCTGTTGCATTCATTCCTCAGCTTTTAATTCTGTCTTTCAATTAAAATATAAAACAAACTAGAAGGGCACTTAGTTGGAGTGCATACCTCCACCAAGGCCCAACAGTCCCCTTAAATTCAAACAGGCCACAGTTAGGGCCACATTAGAATTAGACATTAGACACATTAGAATTTGTTCATCAAGAGTCACACATAATACTCTGAGAAATCAAGGGAAATGTAGAAAAATGCCTTATATTGCAATGTTAAAGAAAGTGAAAAAAATATTCCTGGATATGTCCCTGAACTGGTTCCGCACCAATTTCTTCCCTGACCCATTCTACATCCTTCCACCGAGTTTCGTGGTTGTGTCCAGCAGTTATTGCATAATCCTGCTAACTAACAAACAAACAAATTCGGAGGAAAACATAGCCTTTCTGGCAGAGGTTGTTCGTTGCATCATAAAGTGACTGGTTGCAGAATTTGTTGCTAACTAAAACGTAGCTGTCAAAATAATTCATTGACATTGATCAAGCTATTACTTGTATAGAAAGCTGCTCCTGTACAGTCAATCTGTGCTTTTTGCAACATCATGTGCACCAACACTCCACACGCTTAATTAAAGAGAAAGCTCAACTTTTGTCATGTGGATAATCAAAAAATCATGACCCTTCTCTAGAACCCACAGGCTCAGCAGTCCTGCATGATTCTGTTTTTCCAACACTGTCTCTTCACACCAACTACAGCTTGAAGTCGAGTGGGACAGTTTGGCCTTGACTGGTGGGTTGAGGAAACGCAACACTGCACCGTGTAATCAAAAGAACTTTGGCCTTGACAACCTGGTGTTTCTTTGCCACCAACCAAAGTGCTGTGTTGTCAAAGAGACAATAAAACAGTATCCACGACAAGACTTGGTCTGTGTCACAGGCTCAATAACATAGAAAACGAACAGTTCTAA